TACTATCCACAGCATCACGACAACTAGGCGCCCTTACTATACTATACAGAAGTACTACTGAGGGAGTTCCTGTCTACAACTATTACCGATCTCAACCCAGGAGCAGCACTCGATTCGAGAATGTCATTCAACACGATAGCAGTCCTCGAGCCAGCGAGTAGGATCTGCTGTATTAATAATTGCCGCCATTTCTCCAACACAGCCGCATCCACGTTGATGGGAGAACCACTGCCAATCGGCAGACGCTCATTGCTCAACGGGTTGGTGTAGATGCTGAACGAGAGTAAGCTGAAGGTCCCGGGTTCCATCCTCGGCTAGTACAATTTATTTGCAAACTCCGCGTTGTCGTTACACCACTTTTCAAGAGCTGCTTTATTATTCTCTTGCCATAATTTCTTATCCGCATTGTATGTCTGATCCAAGAGGAATCTTAGCATCAACCACGTAAGATACAAAACAGGCTCTTACATCAGGATTCGCCCGCTGAATATGAGTCCACCCACTCCACCAAAACTGCGGATGATTCTTTATCGTCTCTTGAATGATTTCGTGATCCCACAACTAAACAACGAGGATCGATAGTAGCTTCTCAAATTCATTTACAAGACCTTCCAGAAAAGTAGTCTCACTCTGACATTTATACGAGGAATAACTAATGATAGTGTTTATAAATAAAATGGAATTTCACCCGTTTTACGTGAAGTGGCGTGATACTCCATGGGAAAAACGCGATATTTGCGATATGACGTGAATTGCAAACATTTCCAGAATTACACTGAACAAATTACCCCACATCACATACCCGCGTTATTCACTGCTCACACGCCATCCACGCGTAGTTGAACGTAAAGTGTTTTCCAAATCGCGGGTGAACCTCCTATATAGTAAACTATATAATATTTCAGATAATAATAATGTCTTCATAGATCCATTCATACATTGGAGTTTCTTAACCCTAGTGATATGAAAAACATATTTCACGACTACTGCATATCACCGCGAATATCAGCTTTTTCACAGAGTATTACGCCACCTTATACAAAACGGGTGAAACTCCAATATAAATGATAAAAACCTAGCATCGAATAATACTCTCATGATTCACGACTTCAACATTACACCGACATATTCCTATAGTCGCCCTCTAACCTTTAACGCCATAAAAACGAAAGCTGACCCGTCTCCTATTACTTCATATAAAGACAACGTAGATCCACCCGGCAACTTAACGATAGTCTGCTTCCCGAAATCATCAGCTGAGAAAACAGTGTTGGAATATATGTTCGTTGCAGTTTCCCACAGAAGTTCACATATGAATTCGCGTAGGAAAAAATTTCAACACACCATGTGCATGCTAGCTCGTCCCGACCGGCACTACTCTGGAATCCCTCATGGAGTGGTTGATGCATGTCTCCTATCAAATTTATCAGAAATCGGACCGCATCAGCGTCTGTGACTTGTACCGGCAACCTCGCCGATGACATCATCAATCTATCTTTCTGCGAGATCTAAACATAAACACTTTTTGCATATAATTCCCCCCAAACTTCTACCTTAGACGTATCCCCCTTAGCTTGATCGTAGAAGAGCTTCAAAGCTTCTAATAAGCACTGGCCTTGAGGACAGGTGATTTCGTTGACCACCAAAGTGTTTGAGAAAGGTTCGGGTTGTGATAAGAAATGAAGTCGCGTGGACCATGGGATGGACGATTCAGCCTTATGAGCCCATCCTGAAAAAAGAATCTACTCTAATTAGTATTGGGAAATATGTTTGCTGTTACGAGGTCAGCTCGAGAGTTTCCCGAATGGTAATGAAAGTCTACAGAAACCAATGAGAATTTCCAGAAAATTTTCATATTGTCACCAACATTTGCCCAATTT